TAGAACTAATTTCTGAGTTTAATTTCAGTTTCTGAGGTTAAGTTAAATAAGATCTCTTGAATTGCCTGGTTTTGAGAGTCTCGACTAAATTTTAGAAAGCTCCCAATTTTACAGATACAGTTGAAAAAAATATTCTCATAGTGTGATAATTAAACCAATGAATCATCAACACTATATACAAAACACCAAAAGTAAGTTGTATAATAATTTTCAGTAGCAACAGTTTGTAATAACTTCTTATCATACATTATTTGTTTCCTTTTAACTGTTTTAACAAGTTCTTTATGATTGTTTTCAGAAATTATTCAATTTCATCTACCAAGAACAAATTCTTCCAAGCGAAACAAGGTAGACAAACTAATGAAAAATACAAAATTTATTGCTTGGATGGAGTGTAACAAGATATACGCAACTGCCAGATTCTTGCTCTACACTGAATGATCTCATCAATTTGTCTGGAATGCCACATTGCATGAGTGGAGGCCACGGATAAAGGGTTCAGGAAATCCAACTATTTTTCAACAGTATTCAATTTATGATGGGGAAATTTTTTATTTGGGTTGTCTGTTGAATATCATTAGAGGTCCTCGCAGTTATAAAGAGATCCTAACAGTTAATGGTGTTGTATACGACACATTCAGAGAACCTTGCTATGCAATGGGTTTATTCCCGGTCAATTAGATTTATATGTCTTTCTTAAGATTAGTTTTAAAATTGTATGCTGAATTTTTATTTCAATAAGTTACTTTCATTTTGTTGTTTTTCATCGTCTTCATTTTTTACAATACTTTTTATGTTGAATATATGAAATACCAAGGTAAATCATCTACTAAATACTATATTTTCAACTGTTACATATTACATAATTAATACAACAGTCAACCAATTAACATTTCATTAAATATACCGTAACTTATAATTTATAATTTAGTTAATAAACTGTTATCATTGTAAGTTTAAAGTATTGTTGATGCAGATTAATCGTAACTTAGTTGTTAATATGATAAATTATATCTCAAATTTTGGAAATATCTGATAAAATTGAACAACTTTTTAAATTTCAAATTTAACTGAAATACATAATATAGAAAAATGTGATGTGTTGTTATTTTAGATAATTGCTGCGATGAGAAATAATAAATCTAACAATCCTACAAATTTGGAAAATCGTTATAGCTCAAATTCTAAAATCCCAATTAAAAGGTTTGTATTCTTACACAATATTGGATCTCATTCGATGTAAATAACAATTTTCTACATAAGCAAAGACAGTTTTTTTCTAAAAATTCCAGTGACTAATAAAAAATCAATAATAGCAAAAATTTATGGAAAATGGTATACATTTCTCATTACTTACTGAGCAAAATTACTTGTATCTCACTCTACAATAAGTATACTGTCAATACTCTATCCAGAATTTGGTATAAAGTACTAACAGTATACTTCCTGTCGAAAGTGAGCATTCACAAGTAATATAATTACAATAACTCTGTGGCGACACAATGAATAAAACTACTTATTCTGATGTGATTCTCCACAGATGTACAAGAAATATTATGTAGGAAAACATGTATTTTTCTTTCATGTAAACATATTTTTTGTACGTCTGTGTGAGGATCACATCAGAAAAATAATTGTAGTATGGGTTGTGTTTGAGTGAGTAATTGTTTTCTTGGTTAGTTGATCAAAATTCTCTTATGGTGTGTATTTATAGAATTATTAGAGAGTGACTCCTCATTTTTCTTCGCTGTGTTTCATATTCCGCAAAAGTCATTTATAATTAAAACATATTAAATAACATTTGACTGATTTACACAATTTCCAAATAAAGATACATTTCGAAATAAATGACTACATCTTCGCATATAATCTATAAAATATGTTCATATATGTCACATTTCGATGAATAACTTACGAACATAAAATTAATGTATATATTCATAATTACATGTATTCTTCATCTACATTTTCTTCATTATACATACCTAATTATAATTACTTAGAATTTATAACTGCAAATATGAGCCAATTGTAAGACAGAATCCAATTCTTATACTAATAAGATATCATTCGACCCAAAATTAGTAACAGTGTACCCACACACACTGTCAATTATCAATATTATAAAATTTGACCCAATAAACTTAACAATATACCCAATAAAATTAAAAATATAATAGTATGCGATTAAAAATATTCAAGCCCGAACATGCGTGCGGGCCAGTATCCTAGTATATTATTAACTGATTTAATATTTTATAACTAAAAAATATATACAGAATTTTTTTACACCTAACATGATTTAGATTTTTTGAAAACTAACTTCTTTTTTTTTGAACAAGAATAGTGTCACTAATATAATATAGAAGAATTATTTTTTTTTATCAATAATATAGCTACTTTGTTATAGTTTGGTTGATGAGAAAAAAGCAAATTCAATTTTTATTCAAACTAGACGAATAAGAATTGCATGAACAGGATAATATAAATCACAGAGTAGCTAAGCAGCTGGTTTTGGGAAGTTAAAACATTCACATGAGAACAGAGTCATACTATTACACTTTAAAAAAATTCATCTCCATTAATATAGCTGATGAAATATTGTGATTGCAAATTTACAACAAAGTTATCTTTAAAAAAATTATATCTTGAGTGATAGAATTATGAAAGTTGTTGTGTTTTAGGGTCAACAAAATTTGTGAAAGTTATTTAATACATATAGTCATACTATGCTATAAGCTACATGCTACATAGACCTGTTATGTTACATTAATTTCATAGACTCAAAATTATTAAATTTCTAATCTTCTTAAACCATAAATTTTATCGAGTAATTAGAAATCTAAAAAACACTAGTCGAATTCAATATTAAAAATTTTATAAAAAAAATAAGTTAGTTTTTTATGTATAAACTATCCAATCAACTTAACTCAAACAATTGATCAAAAGTAAAAAAAAAAATTAGAATCAAAGAACAACTTATATGAAGGAGAAAGGAGTGGGAGGAGGTGAGGAGAATTAGAAACAGATAATCTGGTGAAAAGTGATATTTTTTAATCATTATTTGGCAAATTTGTTTATAACAATTATGGTGTAGCAGCAGAGAAAGATGTGTGTGGGAGAATGAGGGAAAGAAAGAAAGAAAAAAAAATAAAGATAGGGCAAAAATGTATTAATATAGAAAATATAGATAATATCACATTGAGATGTTTTTTTGGTTAGTTAGTGAATAATAGATTGTTTGATGGTTTTATAGTGCTTCTAATAGTGAATAATGTATTACCACCTTCTAATAACAAAGAAGCAATCCCGCTATACTATCTAAGTGCCAATAGTATAGATCCAACAGATATAGCATCAACGAAAAATCCTATCTTCACTTCCGATTTCTTGAACCATATTAGGGTTTCTGGATTACCAAAGCATAGTTTACGTTTAAAGATAAGCGACTCAGATAACAATTAGCGAAAGAGCAACCACAAACTATGCCATCTGACGACATGAATGATACATAATCAATAGAATAAAATCACTATATTCGGCAGAAAGAGAGATCTCAGGTAAAAACCACAAAAGAACCAATGGAACAATATCTTTCAAAAAAAAAAAATGAAACAAAAACTGATCAAGTACAACAGATATAGTCAAGTATTTCTGGATGAATTCAATTCATCCAAGTTAAGAAATGGTATAAATCAATGTGGGTTTCTAGAGCACATAGCTTTAATTTGTATAAGATGACTTAACTCATTTCAGATGAGCACATCAGAGACTTGTTCAACATTATGAAATAGAATGACCCTCCATGAAAAAACCAAAAATTGTAAACTTCACTCCTAAAAAAGAAATAAGGACTTTTCAATCCAGTAAAATTGGCGACAAAGAATGAGTAGATCGAGCTGAGAATTTCGGAGAGTAGAAACCAATTGTTTGCTTGGGAAATCAATTTTCGAGCAGATCGAGACAAAGTAAAAACAATCCAGAAAAAATAGATCAATGTGAAATTAAAATCAAGGGTTTAGGATTTTTTCATAACAAAGTACCTGTGAGGAAGAAATTCCTACGTCGTGAAGAGAAATCTCTTGTTGGAACAGAGAGATCAAAGAAAAGAAAAAAACAATAACAAATAAATTCATTTAAAAAAATGGAAATTACAATATATAACCATCAAACAATCTATTATTCACTAACTAACCAAAAAAAATCTAGATGTGATATTTCTATATTTTCTATATTAAGAGATAATTAGCTCAATAACCAATTTTCAATAATTGGTTGAGAATATAGCCATGCTTTTAGAGAAATTAAGCAAGTAACAAAAAGGTGTACTTTCAGATGTTTTTATCCTTCTTGACATATATATATATATATATATATATGGTATATACTATTCTGATATTGTTCTATTTATTGTACATACTGTACCCATAGATCTTGTTTCATACTGTACCCATAGATTTTGTTTCTTTTTTTTATTCACATATTATTAACTGATTCAATATTTTATAACTACAAAAATATACAGAATTTTTTTTACACCTAACATGATTTAGATTTTTTAAAACTAACTTCCCTTTTTGAACAAGAATAGTGTCACTAATATAATATAGAAGAACTATTTTTATCAATAATATAGCTACTCTGTTATAGTTTGGTTGATGAGAAGAGAGCGAATTCAATTTTTTTTCAAACTATACGAATAAGAATTGCATGAACAGGATAATATAAATCATAGAGTAGCTGAGCAGCTGGTTTTGGGAAGTCAAAACATTCACATGAGAACGGAGTCATACTATTATACTTTTAAAAACATTCATCTCCATTAATATAGCTGATGAAAAATTGTGATTGCAAATTTACAACAAAATAATCTTTAAAAAGAAATTAAATCTTGATTGATAGAATTATGAAAGTTGTTGTGTTTTAGGGTCAACAAAATTTGTGAGAGTTATTTAATACATATAGTCATACTATGCTATATGCTACATGCTACAGAGACTTGTTATGTTACATTAATTTCATCGGTTTGATGTTTTCCGCATACGTTTTTTTCAGCACACGAGTGTAGTAATACTCAGCAACATAGCGTATAGGATCATCTTGATTGTCGTCTAGAACAATGTTATATCTGTCCTTTATTGCATCCTTAATCTCGGCTGCAGGCAAGCCAATGTTTCTTCTGATCTCTTCTTTAAATAACCCAGCAATGACACCTTGTTTCAACATTGAAACCCTGCTTGTCTTCTGATGATTGTGATGCATGTGACAAACCTTCATCATCCATTTGTTAATAGGTTTCTCATAAGAACAAAGGACTCTGAAGTTACACTTGCTCGTATCACTCTTATCCTCCTTACTCTTACCCTTCTTACTCTTATCCTCCTTCCTCTTATCCTCCTTCCTCTTATCATCCTTATTCTTATCCGCATTGTAGATAACAGCTATCCTATTTGCTTCTGACTTAGCTATCTTCACATCATATTGGGTCTTCAATGCATACTGCAACAACTGATCCTTAAACTCTAATCCACTATTAAACTTCTGAAATAACAATATGTATGGCTCTTTATCCAAATCCCCATGAAACTGGTCTTTCCCTCTATGCTTTCTCATTTTTGTCGTTTGGGATTAGCCCATTGTTCCCATTCCTCCTCTGACTCTACTGGTGTATCCGGATAATGTGCATTCTCCTCCAAAACATATTCTTCATCACTATCTGCTGCTTCTCTCTCATTTGCATCTTCTTCATCAGTATTTTTATATGTTTCTCTATCTGGTATAACCGTCGAACCTTCCTCAAATACTGACTTAAAACGATCATCATTAGCTCCATCACCAGCATCTAAAATTATTTCATCTCCCTCATCAACCTGATTTCTGTTCTCATTTCCATTTACCTCTGCAGCTGACACATTCGCATCTCTACCTTCCGCCAAATTATCATCAAACTCAGCCTCACCGCCGGCCTGATCTTGATCTTCACCCTCAGCATCATATCCTTCATCATGTCTTTCATCCTCAGATTGCTCAGGTTCTTCATCTTCTTTTGACCTCTTGACATCTACATCACTATCTGACATGTACTTTACATTCTCCCTTTCTTCATTATATGAACTGAACTTTGGGTCCTCATCACAATGAAGATCTTCACGTTGACTACTTGGTAGATAATGAATCACTCCAGTGTCACTGTTTTCTGAAATGTCATGTTCCACATAGATATCAAGCTCCCGCAAAATTTGCCCTAACATAAACAACGGAAACATGTCTTCGTGACTATCATCAAAGACGTAATTGACGGTCTTCATCTCTTTCCCAGCCTCTTTATACCATATGAACCTAATTGGAGCATGCAATTGCATCAAGCCTGCAGAAGTCATCAAATAGTTTCTAAGTAATGTCTGATACTTTCCAATTCACGCTGTGAGAACCCAGCTCTCCTTTGTATGTGTAATCTTCATCTTTTTTCTTCATAGACCAAAATGAATGGTGAGTTTTATTGTGGAGGTATTACTGTAAAATAAGAAAAAATCAAAGACGTGAATGAAGAGAAATTTGCTGAGAAAAACTCGTTGAGGAAACTCGCAGAAGAAGGAAGAAACATGAAATGAAACCCAAATTGTGATTAACAAACCCGAAAACCAAACATAGACATCGAAAATCAAAAATTCCAAACCCAGAAATTGAACCATCGGGCATAGAGAGAAAGAAGAAATCGACGAGTTGAGTACAAAATCGAAACCATCAGACATAGGCGGAAGAGATAGGTGAAATCCTTACACCATTTTGACTTGATTGCATCCGATTCTTCCTTCGATTTACTTCTACTTCTCTCTTTCAGTTTTCTGGGTTTTACAATATTCGAACCCTAATTTTGAAATGGGGTTTTGACTTTACCAATCGATTTGGGGATTTTGACTTCATTTTTGTCGAGAATTTATTTTTATTCGATAATTCATTTTATTAATTACTAAAAACATTTGTTGATTAAAAAACTAATTAAATTTACGCACCTTTAAAACAAGTTACCGGAGTTAACTGTTCCGTCATGGACCATTACTGTTCCGTCAGGTTTTCCGGCGGTGCGAAGAAACTTCAAGTTTGGAGGTTTAATGTGTTATGAAATTAGATTGGAGGTTTATTGTGCTAGTGGAAATCCCTCGAGGTTTTAAAATGCTACATTTTTGATCTCTCGAGATTGAAAATGCGATTTTCCCTATATATATACAAACACATATATATCTCACCTTATTTTAGTTAAAGTTGAAGCTAAATGCCTCTAAAAGTGTCTACATAGGACTAAAAAAAACAATTTTATTGGTCTACATCAACATTCAAAATTAAAAAAGTTTTCAAAAATTAATATTATTATTAATAATTCTATTAGTCCACATCAACATTCAAATTAAGAAAGTTTCCAAAACTTAATATTATTATTAATAAAAAATATATAAAAGAATAAAGAAATTATGTATAAAATTTCCATTAACAACAAAAAAATTAAAATAATATTAAATTAAGAACATTTCTTAAACAAAATACCAATTTACTTAGATATAAATTAATATGCAATCAATTAAGGAAAGAAAGTAAAATTTAACATTTTTTCGGTTTTCTTATAAAACTGATATAAAAAGAATAAAATTGAAGATGATGAAAATAAATCTTATTTTCTTTCATTAGAGAAAAAAACATATATTAATTTTTTTGTGTCAATACTATTTTTATTAAGTAGTAATTGATTATTTTTTAACAGTTTTAGTTATTTTTTAGTATACTAACCTACAAGCATTAGAAGAATTTAAAAATATTTATACGAGTTGAAATTATAAAAAAAATTAAAATAATATTTACTATAACATAAAAAACACATATATTAATATGTGGAGATAATTGGTGGGTAAAAAAAATGGTGGTTAAACATAATTTAAAGGTGACAATAAGTTTGTGAAATATATTTTAGTATATACCAAAAAATTAATTTAATAGTTTATTAAGGGGTAATTAAAAGCTATCAAGTATAATTTGTACTCATTAAAACAGTAAAATAAGGAAAAAAATTTTGTTTTTCTTGGTTGTCAATAAAAAATTATTTAAAAGTTATTACATACATTATGTTACTTGACAAGAGCTTGGTATTTAGCAATCTAAGATAAATTGACAAATATTTATACTGAATTCATCGATCTTTGTGATTTGAAATTAATTTCAAATTTTATTTTATATTGATTTACTGTCATAGTTTAAAATATATAAAAGAAAAATTTTTGTTTATTAGTTTGTTTTTAGTTTTAGAATAAATCATAAATTTGTATCGACTAAACTAGCTAAGGAAAGGGAATAATTTTTAACTTTATTTTTTCTATTAAAAAACATATATAACAAGGATGCAACTGATGAACAAAAAATATTTTTTTGACTAATAAGTAATATATAGTACTTTATCTTCGTATTAATATTAATTAAGTACTATTTAATTAGTTTGTTATATTTTAGGTTGGTTTTAAAAAATGTTAAGCATTCGACAAAATAATATGTTTTTAAAATGACACATATATAAATTTAAATAAGATCGTTGAAATCTCAAAATGTATATATAAATTCTGTGATTGAAACTGAATTAATAAATTTAATTACAACAAATTAAGATCTAAATAAATATAAATGCTTAATTATAATTTTTATCTATATAACGTGGATGTAAAATCTAGTTATTATGAGTAAAGCCCGATAGTAATGAATAATGAAGCCCGATATAAATCAACCCACCCGAAAAAATCACCCCACCCGCTAATACGACCCGGATCGATATCCAGGCCAGAGTCGGAGCACTTAGAAAGCTTTTGGCTTCTCTTCTGGCTTGAGAACAAAGAAAACCCCATTCTCCGATCCTGCTTAAAACGCTGCTCTAGGACGAAGAAAGAGGAGGAAGAAGAAGTAAGAGTCAACAAAAATGAGTAGCATTGGAACTGGATACGATCTCTCTGTCACGACCTTCTCTCCCGATGGCCGTGTTTTCCAGATCGAGTACGCCGCAAAAGCTGTCGACAACAGTGGGTCAGTGTTTACTTCTCTCGATTTCTTCCTTCTGTCTTTTTGTTGAGATCGGATTTTGCTTTTGAACTTTGAGATTCGGCTATGGAAATCATCCCCTACGAATTAGGGTTTTTTAAGCCCGGCTTTCTCTTTCGCAGAACTGTTGTTGGAATCAAGTGCAAGGACGGGATTGTAATGGTTTGATTCTCATCCTCCCTCTTTAATTTTTATCTTACTTTGTTACTTTCTTCAGAGTGTAATAATTGATTCGCTTAGACTTGGATCATACCTGGAACAATGATAGATGAAATTTTCTCGATTTAATCATTAAATTCAGTCTAAATGTAGTATTTTGTTCTTTGAGTTCTTGAGTTCATGCTTGTTTATCAGATTCGTAGCTTTAATTTTACATTAACCCTTTGAAACATTGATAGTTTGGGTTTCTGAGGAGGTTTACGCGGATTCGGTAAAGGAATGTCCTTTACTTAAGTGTTTATCTTTTGGTGGCTTTAGGGTGTGGAGAAACTTATTGCGTCGAAGATGATGCTACCTGGATCCAACCGTAGAATCCATTCTGTTCATCGTCACGCTGGCATGGTAATCGCCTTAACTTGTTGGGAAATTAGCTTTTATAAGGATATTTACAGCTTTAGTTTCTCCTGTTATCACTGTGTATTGTCTTTTCATTCGTTTGAGCCTTTCTCTTCCTGTTCATGTCAGGCTGTTGCTGGGCTTGCAGCTGATGGGAGGCAAATTGTTGCACGTGCTAAATCTGAAGCGAGAAGTTATGAGAGGTATTCGATGAAAGCTTCGAATTGATTTTATTAACTTCTGCTGTTAAAGTTGTTTCCTTAGGCTTATTACTATGAAAGTACTGTTCTACTCCTATAACTTATCTTAAGCGGAAATTACTCATAGTCAAAATTTAGAAATTCGTTTCTCTGCACTTTCTTAGATTGGATATCAAAATATATGAGCATAAGATGTCAATGTGTATTTTATCCATCCGCCCTGCATTACTTTGCATAGTTCAACTTTGACTGAGTGTGCAGCTAACTCTATTCTCTCTCGTGATAATTTAGTGTATATGGTGATGCTGTACCTGTGAAGGAGCTTTCAGAACGTGTTGCAAGTTACGTACATCTATGTACCCTGTATTGGTGGCTCAGGTTTGCGCAATATTCTACCTCTTTGATAACCTCCTAAGCATTTCTCCTACTTGAATGAGTTATAAGAAAATGATTTTATTTTTTTGAAGGCCTTTTGGCTGTGGGGTCATTCTTGGAGGTTATGATAAAGATGGACCCCAGTTGTACATGATTGAACCATCAGGCATATCATACGTAAGTCTTCTTTTTTTTTTTGGTCTACTCGTCGATATGTCATTTTGAATAGAGATGCGTCTTTACGTTTTACGTCTGTCATCATATGGATTCGTTTCCTGCAGAGATACTTCGGTGCGGCCATTGGCAAAGGAAAACAAGCTGCTAAAACGTAAGCTCTACTGTGTAAATGTCATTGGTATATTCATAGTATGCTCTGTGGTCCTCTTGTAGTTGTTATGTGTAGGAACTTAGGTATCCGTAGTACCGCGAGGATTGATCAATTCAACTTATCTAAACCAGATTCTAACTACCTTCACAATTAATCAGACAAATAAATAAAGAAAACATATAGGATCAGTGTAGTTTTTATGGTTGATGGGATTTATGATGATTCCGATTCATTAATGAATGGAGTACGAACTTTACCACAAATGTTTCTGAATTGAATAGTTTTCGACTGCTTTGACCTGATGAAATTTTTTCCCTAAAGGTGTTGTTCATAGAAGTGGTCTGATGGATCAAAATTTCTTGCAGGGAAATTGAGAAGTTGAAATTATCTGAGATGACATGCAAAGAAGGTGTTATTGAAGTGGCGAAAATGTGAGTTTTGCTTGCTTCTCATGTCCTCGTTTCAGTAATAAACTCTTGCGGTTCTATTCTGTAGTAAGGGAGCTTCTATGCAACCGTGCTTCTGAATCCTCTCAGAGGTTCATTTTATAGGAAGATCTTATGTGACTTTCCATTTGCAGCATTTACAAGCTACACGATGAAGCCAAAGACAAGGCCTTTGAATTGGAAATGAGCTGGATATGTGAGGAGTCAAAACGAGAGCATCAGAAGGTAACAAATCGTATAAATTCTGCTTATTGATGAGTTTAAAGAAAAGTTTATAAACCATAAAATTGGATTCATTGCAGGTCCCTGATGATCTTCTGGAAGAAGCTAAGACTGCTGCGAAAACTGCGCTCGAGGAGATGGATGCTGACTAAAACTGAGAGGAAGTGTGTTAAATTAGATCTGTCTAAGGCATCGTTTGGTGTTTCTTTTGTAAACTTTGAATGTTTCTTTATGATTTTTGTCTCGAGGGACAGTTGTTGCAGTATCTCATGAACCTTTTGGGCTCTTTTTTATCTTATTGCTATCAACAGTGGCTTCAATAACTCTCAAGGGACAAATATTGCAGTTTCTTATAAATCTCTTTTCATTGAGGTTGAAAATTTGAACCATCAATGCTACTCAGAGGTTAACAAATTGATTTCAGTGGCAATTCTGCCAATATTAATATTTTAAATCCAAATGTATTTTCAAAAATAAAATTTATTTTGTTAGTTGATCAAAGAATTACCTACGTTACATTCCTAATGGTTTTTTTTGTCCTAAGATAATAATGGGTAAGATTTTTTTTGTTTTTGAGGTGTACAATCAATAGCAATCAACTATAGGCCAAACTTAAACTATAATAAGGGAGATATATGTAAAAAAAATGTAAAGTTAATTATTAGTGTTAATTATTTTTTACCTGAATCGAAATCTACATTAGTAATGTATTCTTAAATTACAGTATTTTTTTAATGATTGTTAAGAGAGGAAAAAACTATGAAAATTGTTAAACTATGAAAAAAACAAATATATAACTGCTAACACAAAAGCTAACAATTTACCTGATATATATTTTGTTTTTTATTTATTTTTTTATAAAATAGCAGGTTATTATATTCTTAAAACTAATTTCTATTTATATTCTCAGTTTTTCCAAAAATAATTATGCTTTTATCTAAATTAAGTTTCCTTTAATTATGTGACATGATTTTTTTTGTAAATTGTTAATTTTTTTTTCGAAGATTTTATTAAATAATGTTTAGCGAAATTTTGGTCCTTTCATAGGAACAAGTACTCTGATGTGATACTGAGCAGCATCAAGAAAGGAGAGCTTGAACCAGAGCATGAAGCTAAAGATAAGCTTGTAGCCGAGAGATATTGGTCTAAAAACAAAGGAGCTAAGGCTAATAAGCTCAAGGAAGACATTGGCGAGAAACCTACTTATCTATGGAACAAAGAAGATCGCTTGAGCCCGGCTGGAGAAGATGGATCACAAACCACACTGGTTTTGATTCAGGCTCAAGAAGATCAACAATTGGGTAAGTGGCCCAGTTGTACTCTTTTTCCCTTACCTTTGGTTTTGTCCCAATGGGTTTTCCAAAGGAAGGTTTTTAAGGAGGCAATGGTGTCTACTTCTCTCAAGGCCCAATTGTTGATTCAAGGACTTAAGCCCAAGACAAATTTCGTCCAAGGGAAGTTCAAGAGGCTGGAGAAGTGACTTGAAGAGTTATTCAAACTTTGCATTTATTTCCTTGTCATTTTCGAGTTTGCCTTGTTTTTCTACATTTCTTCTCTTTAAATAATCTTGTAATCTCTTATGAGAACTCATCCTGGATTAGATCATCAAACTTTTATCAAATAAACTCTCTCTTTCTCTTTATCAAACTTGGACGAAATCCTTTGTCTCTTTGAGAGTGATTCGCTGCTTCTGCAGCATCTTTATCATCTCTATTCTCTTTGTTTTATCCTGAGAGTGAATCGCTGCTTCTGCAGCATCTTTTTCATTTCTCTTCTATCTCTTGTGATCAAATTAAACTCTGAACAGCAACCTGATCTATTCATCTCTTCAAACAGAAGTTCATTCCGCAAGCTTCTGTCCCTGATCTATCTCTTACCAAGCTTCTGAGTGCCGATCCTTGGGAGGATCACATCAAGTGGTATCAGAGCACACTTAGAAGTTTCTTTGGTAGTCTCTATCCTTTCTCATCTATTTAATTTCGTGTCTGCATCTGTTCAACTTCTATTTTCGTTTTAGTTCTCTTCAGAAAAAAGAAAACCCATAAAAATCATTTTAGATCTGTTTAGTTTGCATCATAAGCCTCTAAATCTAGTGTTGTTTGCCTCTGCATCACGTATTTCATCCCTAGGTTTTGTTTTGTCTTTTCATCTTCTCCACATCAGATCTGCTCATATTAGTTTGTCCATTCAGTTTCTATTATCAGATCTCATCATCGGCCATATCTGTGCTTGTTTAAAAATCAACCGATCACATTCTAGGGCTTTTGATAGATTTCTTGTGTCACACGAAGAGTCACTTCTGCATTTTGGTCTATTGTGAGAACTAGTTACTGGTCTTGTTTTCTGTTTTGTTTTTCAGGTCACAATGAGTGAAGAGCAAGGAGACAACAGCAACAATAGCAACAAACTCTTTATGGAAGCTATGATGGCTCGGTTTGAGCAACTGATAAAAACTCAAGCAGAAGAACTACATCAGCGAATTGATCAGCTACAAGGAGAACCTAATCCAAGGGGGATTCAAGAAAGAAATACCAATGGAGTTCATGTCCAGCAGAGACAGCCTAGAAATGATGTTGGTGATGATAATTCTTCACAAGGCAGTCCAAGACGTGGAAGAGGAGTAAGAGAACGTGTTGATGATGACATGAGAGGCATGAAGCTGAAAGTTCCTCCTTTTCATGGCAAGAATGATCCAGACGCTTATCTGGAATGGGAGAAGAAGGTCGAGATGATCTATGATTGTCAAGAGTATTCAGATCTCAAGATGGTGAAGCTAGCTGCTACAGAGTTTTATGGTTATGCCATAAACTGGTGGGATCAGATCACAACAAGCCGCAAACGCAATAGAGAGCCGCCTGTTGATACTTGGGATGAGTTGAAAGCACTCATGAGGAAGCGCTTTGTCCCTAGTCATTATCATCGAGAGCTACACCAGAGACTTAGGCGCTTGACTCAAGGAAACAACAGTGTGGAAGATTATTTTCAAGAAATGGAATCTCTGATGATCAAGGCTGGTATTGAAGAAGATGAAGAAGCAACCATCGCTAGGTTCTTGAGTGGGTTAAACCGAGAAGTTCAAGACAGAGTGGAGATGCAAACCTATGCTGATCTAGAGGAGATATATCACAAAGCCATTCTAGTCGAACAACAGCTCAAGAGGAGAGGATCTCGATTAACTTTTGGAGTTAGCTCATCTACGGCTAAACCAAGTCTTGCTAAAGAAGAAAAACCAAGTGCTGAGCCGGTGGTGTCCGCTAAATCATTCCCTGCTAAATCAGACTTCAAGGTCAAAACTGAATCATCAACTACTAGAGCTCGTGAGATAGTCTGCTTTAAGTGTCAAGGAAGAGGACACATCGCTAGTGAATGTCCTAACAAGAGAGTTCTGATTCTCTTGGACAATGGTGAGTACGAATCAGCAGATGAAAAAGAAATCTCAGATTCAGTGGAAGAGCATGAGGAGTATGCTGCTACAGGAGATCTTTTGATGATGAAAAAGATTCTAAACGTGCAAGCTAAGGCAGAAGAGGAAGCACAAAGACAGAACCTGTTTCACACAAGATGTCATGTGCAAGGCAAGGTGTGCAATCTCATCATCGATGGAGGAAGCTGCACCAATGTAGCAAGTGAATACATGGTTAATAAGCTTGGCTTGACCGTGAGGAAGCATCCTAAGCCATACAATTTGCATTGGCTCAATGATAAAGGTGAAATGCGAGTTAATAGCCAAGTATCGGTTTCTCTAACCCTTGGAAAGTATGAGGATGAAATTCTTTGTGATGTTCTACCTATGGAGGCAAGTCACATCCTGTTGGGAAGGCCATGGCAGTATGATAGACAAGTGACTCATGATGGCTCCACCAACAAGTATTCTTTTGAGTTCAAAGGCAGGAAGCACATTCTTGTTCCAATGACACCTTTCGAGATTTATCAAGATCAAAAGAAGAAAGGAAAACAGGCTGAGAACAACACCTACAAGCAATTAAACTTCCTTGCCAAATCTGGTAATATCCAAAGAACTCTAATCTCTCAATCATCTAGTCGTAAGTCTGCTTATAAAGAAACTCTTTTGAGTTTATCTAATGTTGCACCGGAGCTGCCAAGTGGAAGATCTTTTGTTTTGCAGGACTCTAAGGATGATTTTCTTAGGCCAACTGAACCTTTAGAAGATAAATACTGGAACAGAATTCAGTTTGGACAAATAGATTGCATCTTTCCTATGAAGAACCCATCCGAAGGCCTTATCTTCACCAAAAAGAGCCTTAAGGAAAAGGAGCTTGTAAACGATCAAACCACCACTGAAAAAGGAGCTGAAAACGAACAAGGAAAAGGGATGAGGGCTGGAGGACGTGTGGAACTTGAACACTCTGACCTCAAGGATCCTAGGAAGCATGGAACACCTCAAACTCCAATACAGATCACTGCCGAAACATACTTGCAAGGTAAGCATTATCCGAATTCAAGTTCTAATGGTTCTAACTTAGCTTTGTTCTTGGCAGATGGTCCTGGTTTGAGGACAAATCCTTTTCAACTGGGGGAGTATGATGTGATACTGAGCAGCATCAAGAAAGGAGAGCTTGAAACAGAGCATGGAGCTAAGGATCAGCTTGTAGCCGAGAGATATTGGTCTAAAAACAAAGGAGCTAAGGCTAATAAGCTCAAGGAAGGCATTGGCGAGATACCTACTTATCTATGGAACAAAGAAGATCGCTTGAGCCCGGCTGGAGAAGATGGATCACAAACCACACTGGTTTTGATTCAGGCTCAAGAAGATCAACAATTGGGTAAGTGGCCCAGTTGTACTCTTTTTCCCTTACCTTTGGTTTTGTCCCAATGGGTTTTCCAAAGGAAGGTTTTTAAGGAGGCAATGGTGTCTACTTCTCTCAAGGCCCAATTGTTGATTCAAGGACTTAAGCCCAAGACAAATTTCGTCCAAGGGAAGTTCAAGAGGCTGGAGAAGTGACTTGAAGAGTTATTCAAACTTTGCATTTATTTCCTTGTCATTTTCGAGTTTGCCTTGTTTTTCTACATTTCTTCTCTTTAAATAATCTTGTAATCTCTTATGAGAACTCATCCCGGATTGGATCATCAAACTTTTATCAAATAAACTCTCTCTTTCTCTTTATCAAACTTGTACGAAATCCTTTGTCTCTTTGAGAGTGATTCGCTGCTTCTGCAGCATCTTTATCATCTCTATTCTCTTTGTTTTATCCTGAGAGTGAATCGCTGCTTCTGCAGCATCTTTTTCATTTCTCTTCTATCTCTTGTGATCAAATTAAACTCTGAACAGCAACCTGATGATATGATCTTGGATAGCATCAATAACAAGTGGGAACCAGATGGAGAACCGCAGGAAGCTAAGGAACTGAGGAGTAAAGACAAGGATCAGGAAACGGAACAAGAAGACCCTTTGCTCATTACAAAAGGTCCCATGACCCGAGCAAAGGCTAAGAGGCTCAAGGAAGCTGTTGGGGAAATACTTAAGCAAGGAACGCTTGTGGAGCAGAAGGGAAAAGAGATGGGCACAACTACACTAGTTGTGATCCAAGTCCGAGAAGGCTAATGGGCTTGTGATCCAACTATGTACTCTTTTTCCCTATCTCAAGTTTTTTCACAATGGGTTTTCTTGAGATAGGTTTTTAATGAGGCATAGTTTGGATCACCTCACATCTAAGCCCATCAGCCGAGTCCAAAGAAGAAGAAGAGGAGCGTGTGAATAAGAGTTCGAATTCAAACTTGGCCAGCTTTCAAGGAACTAGTTCCTAGACACTTTAATGCTTTGAAGACTCACATGTGTTTCTCTTTATATTCGTTTGTAAACTCTCTTTGGAAACTATCTTATCTTTAATCAAAATCTTTCTAAGTAAGATCAAACCCTGTTGTTGGTGTGTAATATCCTTCAAGTCCTTTCGATTCATCTTTGGTGTGTAATATCCTTAGTTGATTCGGAAACCATTCATCGAGGGTCTTCCGCAACCCTTGGAGTCTTATCTAAACCCACAAACCTTGATACAATTCGCTTGTGTGCAAGGCTATCCCCTTGATCCAGTTTAGTGAGTGTCGATTTCAGGGAGAATCTTATTAAGTGGTATCAGAGCAAGCACTCAAACCGCTGGATCGTCGAAAACATCAGGTTGTATCTTTCCTTGTTGTTTTTCGATTTTTTTTGAGTTTACAAAGCTTGATCATCATCACCGTTTATTCGACTTTGTTACTTGTGTTCTACTGCATCAAAATAACCTAGATTTATTAAGCAGGATCAAATATCTGAGATCTAGTTGCTATCAAATCGGATAGATCTAAGTGCCTTTTTAACTTCTAGGCTCGGATCTGTGTTTTGCAAATCTGACTTTTCGAATTCAAACTATCGATCATGATTTCTTGTGGATCACGAATAGTCACTTTTGTCTTGTAAAACGATCAGAGAATTGTTGCTAGTGATTCCGTGTTATCCTTGTGTCAGGAACAATGAGTGATCAACAGGAAGAGTCCAGTGCTAATGGTGTTAACAAGCTATACATGGAAGCAATGTTAGCCGAAGTTAAGAAGCTTGTGACCGTAAGCCTCGAGGAGTTTCGACAGGAGATTCAAGAACAGACCGAACCAAAAGCTAACAAGGAGAAGAGCAGAGATCTAGGGAAAGAACTTGAGGAGGTTTTGGAGCCGACTAGACCTCTCAGAGATGATGCGGCCACAGATTATTACGGTCTTCTTAGTAGTTGTTCAAGAGACAGTCGAAGAAGGCATAGGCGACGCAAGGAAGATCGAGTTCAAGAGGGTTTTGGAGGAGTTAAACTCAGGATCCCTCCTTTTCACGGCAAAAACGACCCTGATGCCTACTTAGAGTGGGAAAAGAAGATTGAATTGTTGTTCAATTGCCAACAATTCGCCGGGATTAATCGAGTAAAGATAGCCACTACCGAGTTCTACGACTATGCTCTTTGTTGGTGGGATCAGGTTGTTACGACTGGAAGAAGAAATCAGCAATTTCCGATTGATACTTGGGAAGAGATGAAATCTCTCATGAGGAAAAGGTTTGTGCCAAGTCATTACCATAGAGAATTGCACCAAAGACTTAGACGGCTCACACAAGGCAACCGGTCTGTTGAAGATTACTATCAAGATATGGAGACCTTGATGCTCCGAGCTGATATTCGAGAAGATGCTGAAGCTACCATGTCTCGTTTCTTAGGAGGATTGAACAGAGAAATTCAAGACAAGCTTGAGATGCAGCAATATGAGGAATTAGAAGATATGTTGCACAAGGCCATCCTAATAGAACAACAGCTCAAGAGGAGAAACACCAAAACCTTTTATGGAGCTGGGGGAATGCCTACTAAACCGAGATATTCTAGAGAGGAGAAGCCGAGCTCAGTATCAAAAGAAGAGAAGCCAGCTGGTGTCTCTAAAGAGGAACCTAAGTCATTCACTTCGGTATCAGATAACCGAAACAAAGCTATGGGATCAACAAGAACCAGAGACGTTAAGTGTTTCAAGTGTCTTGGTAGAGGGCATTACGCCAACGAGTGTTCAAATAAGAAGATCATGATACTCAAGGACGATGGCGAATGGGAATCAACAGCTGAGTCTGAAGCCGAGTCTCATTCTGAACATGAAGAGCTTCCTGCTCAAGGTTCTTTACTAGTATCAAGAAGATCTCTAAGCGTGCAAGCCAAAGCTATGGAAGAGGAGCAGCGAGAGAATTTGTTTCATAGCCGGTGCCTTGTACAAGGGAAAGTTTGTAGTCTCATAATAGATGGAGGTAGCTGCACCAACGTAGCAAGTCAAGAAATGGTTCAAAAGCTCAACCTAGCCACCGAGAAGCATCCCCGACCCTATAAGCTCAACTGGTTAAATAATGATGGGGAATTAAAGGTCAACAGCCGTGTCATGGTCCCTATTACTATTGGAGGATATGAAGACGAGATACAGTGTGACGTGTTGCCCATGGACGCAGGACACATACTTTTAGGCCGGCCATGGCAATCAGATCGAAAGGTTATTCATGATGGGTTTACTAACAAGTATTCCTTTATTTTTAAAGGCAGGAAGACAACCCTCATACCTTTGACGCCACAAGAAGTCTACCAGGATCAAATGCAGCTAAAGCAAAAGACGAAGCCGCCTACTAAAGCATCTAACTTCTACCTGAGGGCTGGTGATGTCAAAAGATCTCTTAGTACTAACCAACCGGTTCTTTTATTTGTGTTTAAGGAGGCTCTCACCAATATGACTAACCTCACACCGGTTTTGCCGAGTAAAATTCAAACTCTTTTGCAGGAATACAATGATGTCTTCCCTGAAGATAATCCTAAAGAGTTACCTCCTTTTAGAGGCATTGAACATCAGATTGATTTCATGCCTGGTGCTTCATTGCCTAATCGCCCTGCTTATAGAACTAATCCGGTTGAGACAAAAGAGTTACAAAGACAAGTCGATGAACTAATGGAGAAAGGACACATAAGAGAAAGCATGAGTCCTTGTGCTGTACCGGTTCTGCTTGTGCCTAAGAAAGATGGGAGCTGGCGAATGTGCGTAGATTGCAGAGCCATCAATAATATCACTGTAAAGTACCGCCACCCTATCCCTAGACTCGATGATATGTTGGATGAGTTGCATGGTTCTAATATATTCTCTAAAATTGACCTTAAAAGTGGATATCATCAGATTAGAATGAAAGAAGGAGATGAGTGGAAAACTGCATTTAAGACTAAGCATGGCTTATATGAATGGCTTGTTATGCCATTTGGGTTAACTAATGCACCTAGTACATTCATGAGGTTGATGAATCATGTCCTTCGAGCATTCATAGGGGTCTTTGTAGTTGTCTATTTCGATGATATCCTTGTCTATAGCAAGAATCTAGACGAACATATAATGCACTTGAGAGCTGTTCTAGATGAGCTGAGAAAGGAAAAGCTATATGCCAATCTAAAGAAATGCACTTTTGGAACAGATAACCTTGTCTTTTTAGGTTTTGTTGTAAGTGCAGATGGCGTTAAGGTGGATGAAGAGAAAATCAAGGCCATCAAAGACTGGCCAACCCCTAAGACTGTCGGCGAAGTTAGAAGTTTCCATGGCCTGGCCGGGTTCTATAGGAGATTCGTCAGAGATTTCAGCACTATAGCCGCCCCTCTTACAGAAGTTATCAAAAAAGATGTGGGATTCCAATGGGGAGAAGCTCAAGAAGCCGCATTTGAAGCTTTGAAGCATAAGCTTACTAATGCACCTCTATTATCTTTACCTGATTTCCTTAAAACTTTTGAAATAGAATGTGATGCTTCAGGTATAGGAATTGGAGCTGTGCTAATGCAGGACAAGAAACCGATTGCTTTCTTTAGTGAAAAGCTTAGAGGAGCCACTCTCAATTACCCAACCTACGACAAAGAATTATACGCTTTGGTCAGGGCTTTACAAACATGGCAACATTACTTGTGGCCCAAGGAGTTTGTCATTCATACCGATCATGAATCCCTCAATCATCTTAAAGGACAGCAAAAGCTTAATAAGAGGCACGCGAGGTGGGTTGAATTCATTGAGACATTTCCTTATGTCATCAAATACAAGAAAGGTAAGGACAATGTAGTTGCCGATGCATTGTCTCGAAGGTACACTCTACTCTCTACTCTTGATGCTAAACTTCTTGGTTTTGAACAACTTAAACTTCTGTACTCAACTGATTCGGATTTTCGAACTATTTATGAGTCTTGTGCTAAGTTTGCTTCGGGTTATTACCATAGACAAGAGGGATTCCTTTTCTTTCATAATCGTTTGTGTATCCCTAATTGTTCTATTCGAGACTTGTTAGTCAGGGAAGCTCATGGAGGAGGACTCATGGGTCATTTTGGTATAGCCAAAACCTTGAAAGTATTACAAGATCATTTTCACTGGCCTCACATGAAGAGGGACGTTGAGCGAGTTTGCTCAAGATGTGCAACCTGTAAGCAAGCTAAAGCTAAGGTTCAGTCCAACGGTTTGTATACACCTTTACCAATTCCTTATCATCCTTGGACTGATATATCAATGGATTTCGTGCTTGGATTGCCTAGAACTAGGACTGGAAAGGATTCGATCTTTGTTGTAGTTGATAGGTTCTCTAAAATGGCGCATTTTATTGCATGTAACAAGACTGATGATGCATCGCATGTAGCTAATCCGTTCTTTAGGGACATTGTTCGAATACATGGTATGCCTAGGACCATAGTATCTGATCGAGATACCAAGTTCTTAAGCTACTTTTGGAAAACTTTATGGTCTAAGCTAGGTACAAAGCTCTTGTTTTCCACTACTTGTCATCCACAGACTGATGGATAAACTGAAGTAGTGAATAGAACATTGTCTACCTTGTTGCGAGCATTGATTAAAAAGAATCTTAAGGCATGGGAAGACTGTTTGCCTCATGTAGAATTCGCATATAACCATTCAGTGCATTCAGCTACTAAATTCTCGCCATTTGAAATTGTTTATGGCTTTAATCCTTTGTCGCCTTTGGATCTAACCTCTCTTCCTTTGAGTGAAAGAACTAGCCTAGATGGAAAGAAAAGAGCAGAGCTTGTTAAACAGATCCACGAGAAGGCCAGAGCTAACATAGAGGAGAAAACAAAGCAATATGTCAAGCACGCTAACAAAAGCCGACGCAAGCTTACCTTTGAAAAGGGAGATCTCGTTTGGGTGCACCTAAGGAAGGAGAGGTTTCCAGCAGAAAGAAAGTCTAAGCTGATGCCAAGAGTGGATGGACCCTTTGAGATAATTAGAAGGATCAATGATAACGCTTATCAACTTGATCTCCAAGGTAAGTATAAGATAAGTTCTTCTTTCAACATTTCTGACTTGATTCCTTATTTTGCAGATGATCCAGATTTGAGGACAAATCCTTTTCAAGAAGAGGGGGATGATATGATCTTGGATAGCATCAATAACAAGTGGGAACCAGATGGAGAACCGCAGGAAGCTAAGGAACTGAGGAGTAAAGAAAAGGATCAGGAAACGGAACAAGAAGACCCTTTGCTCATTACAAAAGGTCCCATGACCCGAGCAAAGGCTAAGAGGCTCAAGGAAGCTGTTGGGGAAATACTTAAGCAAGGAACGCTTGTGGAACAGAAGGGAAAAGAGATGGGCACAACTACACTAGTTGTGATCCAAGTCCGAGAAGGCTAATGGGCTTGTGATCCAACTATGTACTATTTTTCCCTATCTCAAGTTTTGTCCCAATGGGTTTTCTTGAGATAGGTTTTTAATGAGGCATAGTTTGGATCACCTCACATCTAAGCCCATCAGCCGAGTCCAAAGAAGAAGAAGAGGAGCGTGTGAATAAGAGTTCGAATTCAAACTTGGCCAGCTTTCAAGGAACTAGTTCCTAGACACTTTAATGCTTTGAAGACTCACATGTGTTTCTCTTTATATTCGTTTGTAAACTCTCTTTGGAAACTATCTTATCTTTAATCAAAATCTTTCTAAGTAAGATCAAACCCTGTTGTTGGTGTGTAATATCCTTCAAGTCCTTTCGATTCATCTTTGGTGTGTAATATCCTTAGTTGATTCGGAAACCATTCATCGAGGGTCTTCCGCAACCCTTGGAGTCTTATCTAAACCCACAAACCTTGATACAATTCGCTTGTGTGCAAGGCTATCCCCTTGATCTAGTTTAGTGAGTGTCGATTTCAGGGAGAATCTTATTACCTGATCTATTCATCTCTTCAAACAGAAGTTCATTCCGCAAGCTTCTGTCCCTGATCTATCTCTTACCAAGCTTCTGAGTGCCGATCCTTGGGAGGATCACATCATACTCTCCTGCAAAACCGAAAACTATGTGAAAGCTCTGAAAATACGATAGAGGTGTGTTTTTCGAAGGTTCTCTGACGCTCAAATCAGAAAACAACCAAAAAGACTACTAAATGGCTAATCGGAGAGCAGAAAGAGATTGAAAAACTAAGGAAGGATAGTGGGCTAAGTGTTTCTGACAATGGTGGAATCAATTCGAGCCTTTACAGGTGATGGGCTTGTTGTAGTGAAACGAGAAAAAGAGAAGAGTTTGTTGGTGGAAGAGCTCCACGGCTTAGGAACCACCGTGGAGAAGAAGTGAAGAGATGGTCGGAATAGTGACCGGAAGACCTCAAGTGCTAGCGTTTAAGACTGACAAGCATCTAAAAAGATATTTTGAACCTTAAAATAGATAAAAAGAGTGTCCCCCTTCTTGTTAGAGAATGGATAAAATAACTATAGGATTTTACCTGGTCTGTGGATAGTGAATCGGACGGATCGGTCCACGACCCAACTTGACTAGGTTCGAATCTCGTGTTTGCGTCACACTTCTGACGCTCTCACCAACTTTTCTTAGCATGTTCTGCCTGCTACGAGATCGCTCTTTGGCGCGTGTCTATCGCTCTCAGTGTACAGGCTGGGTCGACGGTTTAGGCACGGTATATCTCTTGCTGAACCTATGCTTTTCCCTCTGGGTCCTGTGAAAGATCAGTGTCGCCTGACACATATAAGAAAGATGTATTAAATGTCAATCTCGTAGGTTTGTCAGGGTATGAGCAATCAAATCAGACTAAGATATATTTCTATTGTCAATGAAGGGAAATTTGAATAGTGTTTCCTGCTTATGGATTTACTCATACCTGGCCTGATCCCTTGATACTGGGACCGGGCTGCCGAGGTTGCTTAGATGGATGACTCCGCTCTCCGGGTACCTGTGCGGACCACTCTTCCTTATATCTCAAACCCTTATATATTACCAAGTTTAGGCATATGACATAGAGAAGGTGACCTCTCCTCCTCTTGACCACTCAGTTTCCAAACTCATGATGTCAGATACGAAGAATCCAAGAACAGATGGCCTATCGTGCCGGATCTCCCGAATCCGAATGGATTCAAGGCCCGGTGCTATATGCTTAGGTCGTATTAGGCTTACCTAATTTGGTCCAAAGAGACTATACCTGCAAAAAAACCATAGACATTACGTACATGCACGTGATTCGTCGTAGAAAGTATCGAATTTATCCCAACAAATAGGGGAAAAATTTTCGTCTACAGTAAGTAGTGATGATTTATTCTACCCTGCCCAAGTTATTTTCTCATACCAGCGGTGGTCCCCCTTCCTTTTAATGAAACATGTTATCCCCATATTACCCTTAATTGTGCATTAGGAAAATGAATAATTGACCAATGAGAATTAAGAATGTTCAGCCAATCATAAGTCTTGGTGGGAATTGTTGACCAATAGGAAAGAAAGATATTTCAGCCAATAAAAACATTTCAATGAAACTTGTTATCCCCATATTGCCCTTTTTGTCGACAATTCTATTAATGGAAAAGCCCAACAAGAAGCCCATTTCTCATATTGTTTGGGCAATAACTAAAATGAATAATTGGAATTCTTGATAATTTCAACCAATCAAAAGTGTTAGTTTCAACCAATCAAAAATGTTGGAGGAAAATGTCGACCAATAGGAAATAGCCAATTAAAACATTTCGGACCAAATTTTAAGCCAATCAGAAATCAGGTCGATTCTGGTCTTATTCTACTTTCCTGGGTTTGCTGAAATCAGAAAACTGGGTTTGCATGCAATATCTCCTCTCCACTTTAATTCAGGAAATTCGACGGGGTTTTTACGCTTTCATTCCAACGCCGAAGGACGAAAGTAAGTTTTTCTTCATCCTCGGCCTCTGTAATTTCTTGTGAAATCGCTAAATGAATGTTTTGCCTAGGAACAATTGAGTTTTGGATATAATTTCGATTTACAAAATAGGGCAATTCAGAATGGGGAGAGTTAATTTTTTTATTCACATTGGGTCGCATATTCCTTTTAATTGACTAGTGAGGTTTAATCGTAATGAGATTTAGTTTGTACACCAAATTCGCCGATTCAGGATAACTAGAACAATTGAGTTATAGTAGAAGTTTTCGTATAACTCGAAAAATTGGTATTAATGAGTTAAGTTGATATGCAGTGTATATATATATATATATATTTTTTAGAACACAATGATAACAAACATATTGTTTGATTATGGAGGACATTATTCATGTATCGATGATAAATGGATTTCAAGAGAAGGTTCCATGTACGGTATATTGTTTAAGACATCAGGCTTAGAGGAAATAAGCTATTTTGATTCAGTGGATAGGATATGCAAGAAGGTTGAGATAGGAGAATCATCCACAAAGTTGAAACTGAATTATATTCCCGTAGTAGTGCAAACGAAGAAACAGTGGTATATTTTAGATGACGATGATCTCGGTATCTATCTGACGTCGTTTGATAATGAGGGACGCAGAAGTGTCTTGTATGTAGAGGTCATCAATGTAGATGGAGTGTCTGAGGTGGCCGAGCAAGTTTCACGTGTAGAGAGGGTAAGTCCTGTTGTTGTGAATGTCAAGGAGGTGAGTGCAGCTAATGATATAGCGAGTGATGGCGTTTTTGTCGGCAATGCTGAGTTTAATGATGGTGCTATTGTTATTCAACAGAACAATAACATGTGCCAGTAATGGAGAATGACGAAGGTGTTAATCTATCTCGTGAAAATGAGGAAAACGGTGGAGATCAAGATGACATAAGTCAAACATATCGAATGCTTGATATTGTTGATCCTCCAGACTGTGTAGAAGAACAACGTATTCAACGTGAATGGGCAGACGGTTTGAAACTGAGAGTTGGTGCAGAGTTTACCTGTAAGCAGGATCTAATAGATTTAGTTTATAGAGGTTCTCATAAACATTGTTTTGGCATCACTGTACACAAGTCTGATAAGAAACGATATTATGTGAAATACGGTCAAGCTGAAACTGGATGTAACTGCTATATAAATGCCGCTAAGACAGCTCAGTCAAATATTTTCACGGTTAGAGTATATAGGAAAATGAATTCTTGCTCTCGGGCTTCTGCGTGTACTAGCAGCAAACGAAGGAAAGGCACATCTGGGTTAGTTGCAGGCGTTGTTAGTAAAACTTACCCAGGTCGATTAAAACCACCAACTCCTAGAGATACCATGGCTTTGGTTCAAACTAGAGGTCGTGTGGAGGTATCATACTAACGGCATAGAGAGGCAGACATAAAGCTATAAGTTATGTTCGTGGTACTCCAGAAGAGAGTTTCGAATATCTGCATTCGTATTTGTACATGCTGGAGCAGTTTAATCCTGGTACGACATCAAGTGTTGAAGTGGATGAGTTAGTAAGATTCAAGTACCTATTCGTCGCTCTGGGTCCTATCATAGAAGGGTTTGCGGCAATGAGGAAAGTGATAATTGTTGATGCAACTTTTTTGAAGAATGGATTTGGTGGATGCCTTGTATTTGCAACAGCTCAGGATCCGAATTTTCACTATTATCCCCTTTCTTTTGGGGTAGTTGATGCGGAAAAGAATGATAGTTGGAACTGGTTCTTCACTAAGCTTAAAACCCGTATACCTGACAGTTCTTAATTGGTGTTTGTTTCTGACAGGAATGTAAGCCTGATCAATGCAATAAGGGATATGTACCCGAAAGCTAAGCAAGATTATTGCATTTATCCTTTGGCCCAGAATGTGAAAGTGAACGTTCAGAGAGAGAGAAAGTTAGTTATAGGCAAGTTCATGGAAGTTGCGAGGAAGTGTACAGAGGCTGAGTTTCTTGTGGCTTATGGTCAACTGGCAGAAAGATATCAGGATGCAATTACGTATTTACGTAATAGTTTGCTTGAGGAAAAATGGGCAAGGTGCTATTTTCCGGAAGAAAGGTACAACATCGACACTAGTAATTGTGTAGAGTCTATGAACAGCGTGTTTGATGATGCGAGGAAGTATGCTTTATTATCTATGATGGATGCCATCTTGTCAAAGGTATCTGAGTGGTCTAACAAACATAGGAAGGAGGCTGCTACAGCACCTGGAGCACATAAACTGGTTCCCTATGTCGAAAATGTCTTACACATGAGAGTTAAAATTGCTCAGTCCTTAAATGTGACTGAGCTGAACTCGTTTCTGCTTGAATACGCTGTGGTCGGTGGAGATGAGAAGACTTATCTGGTGAACTTGAAAACCAAATCTTGTTCATGCAGATGTTTTGATATAGACAAATATCCTTGCGTTCATGCACTTGCCGCAGTGAGAATTTTTATGGCCAGGGAAGATAGAAATGAGGACATTCACTCGCATGATTTGTGCTCGAAGTATTATACTACTGAATTGTGGGCACTTGCATATGCCAAGACGGTATACCTTGTTCCTCATCGTTCACAATGGGTAATTCCAGATGATATCAAAAAGAAGACTGCCCCAAAACCACCTGAGGTCCCGAAAAAAGCTGGAAGAAGGTAACAGAGAAGATTTGCATCGGTTGGAGAGCGTGGGCCAAGGCCAAGTAATAAGCATAAGAAAAGGCAGGGTAATACTCAGGATGGAGTCGGGAATGCGCATGGTAATACTCAGGGGAATGAAGGCAGGTATGCTAGTAATCCTGAGGGGAAATGCGAATGGTAATACTCAAGGGAATGAAGGCAGGGATCCAAATTTCAATGCCAGTAATCCTGAGGGGAATGCGCAGGGTTATACTCATGGTGGAGACTGGTTTGCTTATTTTAATTGCAGTAATCCTGAGCGTAATACTCAGGGTGGATCTAGTATTCAGGACAGTTGACAATTTTAATTTATAATAGTATTAATAAATTGGTACAACTATGTGAGAATGTTCTGTTTCATTTCATATTAAATAGTTCATAGTAATACGGAGTTGACTAAACAGTTCATACTAAACAACAATAGAAAATTAGTTCATAGTAAAAAGAAGTTGACTACAAGCAGAATATGGAGTTTTTGACTAATCAATAACACAACGGATATGTAGCCATAACTAGTTCCAACGGATATGTAGCCATTCCCAGGTAGTAATCAGTTACAGAAGTAGTAAATTCTTCGCACATTGGTAATACATGTAGAGGAAGCAGAGCTCACAGCACTTGTTGTAGTACTGGAATCGACATGCAGGGAAATCGGTCAAGACTGCTGGCAGATATTGGAAACCATTATTCACCATTATCAACATAGTGTTCATTACTTGATCCCCCAGTTCTTCTATGTACATCATCCGTGATTTCCAACCATCGATACGGTCTAGGATCTCCAGGCCCCTTCGATAGAAACCATATGCGGGTGGGGCAGATTGCCATCATGACTGTCGCCGCATCAATTCCCGCCTTAGAGGCCCGGTTAAAAAAAGGCACCGAATTGTCGATCTCAACATCGAGAATCATCCTGCTCATGCCACGAAGGTACAAGGCGTATGGATTACCATGACTGACCACTGACTCAAAGAAATCCGGGGAGCGAGCAATTAAACGGGGGTGCTTAACGAATTCAGACAGGTTCAACACCTTGATGACTTCTGGATCTTTCAACATCTGGCTTAGAATCTTCGACGTAAAACCAAATGAAACAGCATCAGCAGCAGACTCTCTCTACCCTTACGAATATATCAATCAACACATCTCGTGGCTGGAAAAGCATGTTGTTTATCATTCTGACGAAATCTTAAAAGAGAGGGTTTTGAAATTTGAATAGATAAAGGAGAAAGATATCTTCAAATATGGATTTGAAATTTGAAATGGGGTGAAATAACGGAAACTATTACAAATGGATAAAAAAAATATATATATAAAAAAATCAGAAGCATTGTGAGAATGGAAAAAGACGTTACAGCTATGTTCTCACAAGAGTTAACAATTTTAATTTGTAATAGTATGAATAACTTGGTACAATTATGTTCAACTATTTTCAGCTCTTGGTTTTGGGTTTGCTTGTTCTCTCGTGCTAAAAATAAAGAAAACTCTATGTGTCCAATGCTTTTCTAACAATTATGGAAAACGAGTGAGAAATGTTCTGTTTCATTTCATCAGAAAATGAGCTTCCGTGAGAAATAGACACATATCAGTTACAATCAGTTACTTTTTACTTTATCAGATAAAAGGTTGTAGGCCAGACAGAGTAAGTGGAGTAGATGACTATACATTTATCAGACATGACATTTTTCAGACATTCTCAGTTAATATATTATTAAAATATATGAATATATTCTGTTTTGGTTCTAGGTTTCGGTATTTATCGGTTCGTTAAACCAATTTCAAATTACAATAACCATGAAATCGATTTCATGTACACCAAATGATATGAAATCGATTACATTCTCGTAGATTATATGCATAGTTATGTTATGATTAACATTTAAACTAGCCAAAATATGCAATTTATAAATCTTTGAACTTTATAACAAGTTTTCTCATAATACACATCATGTTCTATGAAGAGTTCACGATGAGTAACCACATAAGGCATCAAACAGAACGTAAAAAAGCGAAAACGAAATCTGATTACATGAAAATGATGGGCCAACAAATTAACTAGTACTTGTGAAAAGTTCAACTACATAATTTTTTTGGTTAAAATCGGAAATGTACAACTACTTGAGAGTTTGTATAACTGTCATACTACGTACAAAAACGTATCAAACCTCATATGAAGAAGTGACATGTGTCCACGCGTTATTGGATATTAGCTATTGGCGGCGGCACGTGAGCGAATTCCCCACGTGAGGGACGACCCCATTTTCTACGTGTAATACTTAAATAATATTATATTTGGTAGTTGTAATATAATTCAAATTTGAATTTCCCCCCAATACCCAAATTCAGCAAAATTCGAACTTCCTCCCATTTTGAATTTCATTTCTCTCTCTCTTGGGACATTCCTCTCTCTCTCTATCTCTCTTCAAATTTGAGAACTTCCTTTGCTACAGCGACTATGGACCCGACCTACAGCGACAAGAAGAGAAACAAGAAACATATCGACCGCCTTTACCACGTAGCCGATGCAGAATTTGGGATTCCAACAGTTTGTCCATGTGCTGGAGGAATCATCCAGGAGATTTCTGAAGATCCAGGAAAGAGATATTACACCTGCAAAGTGTATAAGGTTTGAATTACTTTAATTTTCTGGATTTAGATTGATTTAAAATTCCTGGGTTGAGTGTATAAGGTTTAAGTTTATGAATTGTTGTGTAGAACGACGGCTACCACTTTAGGGTAAAATGGGATCACGCTGTCGATAATGAGATTTCTAGGCTAAAAGGTGAGATTAAGGACCTGCGCTCGAGGATTGCAAAAATGTCAAGCCATGAATTTCAAATCAAGCAAATGCACATGGAGCTTAACAACAATGCTGAAGAGATTGCAAAGCTGAAAGGTGTATTGGCGGGTTTAGGGTTTAATGTTTAGAACTGATACAATTATGTAAGAATCCCGTTGTTTAATGACCAATTTGTACTAGTTATTATAATTTCAAGAATTTTCACGTAGTTGGGCCGGATTATACCAATTAGTACCAGATTTTAGGGGTTACCAAAGTTATACGTAGTTGAGCCGAATTATACCAATTAGTACCAGATTTTAGTGTTCCCAAAGTTATACGTAATTGAGCCGAATTATACCAATTAGTACCAGATTTTAGGGGTTCCCAAAGTTACACTTAGTTGGGCCGAATTATACCAATTAGTACCAGATTTTAGGGGTTTCCAAAGTTATACGTAGTTGGGCCGAATTATACCAATTTCCACGAGAGATTTAAATTTTCCAAAGTTGAACGTAGTTGGGCCTAATTATACCAATTTGTACCAGAACTTATAATTTCTTAATTTTTTCTGGAAGAATTAACCCCATGTAAACCAATTATACGACATTCTATTATTTAGGGTTTCTTCATATTGTACGGTTACCTAAATTACAAGGCGATCTGAGTGGATCCTTACTAAGATGGTGCAAGAAGGGGTGGATGAAAAAGATGAACAACTTAGGAGGCTGGTGTTTGAATTTTTCCTCCAAACTCTTCGCTCAGGCTCCTAAGTTGCTCATCTTCTCATCAACCACTTTCTGTACAATCTTAGGGTTTCATATCGAGAAGGATAAGTGAGGCGGAACAAAGTCGTAGAGCGAAGAGGATGAGAAACCTTGCAGAATGATATTTGGATTTCAACTCATGCTCCACAGTTCCTCATCCTCTCGTCCACGACTTCATCAACGAGGTAAGCGTTTCTTTCTAAAAGGAAATGAAAGGTTGGGATGATGAAATGAGAAGGAGACTAGGGTATTTAAGGATAAGTGGGCGGTGGTTGGTGACGCATGTACGTGTTACAATTATAATGTAAGACTGGTACAACTACCAAACCTGGTAAACGATATCATTTATTATCATTAATGTATTGAAAATAAATTTAAAAAATCAATTCCAAATAATAATTAATGTTGGAAAAGTGAATACAAAGATATCATCATTGCAAATACAAATTAAGTGAAAATATCAAAATAAAAAAAAACAAAAATACAAAATAAGAAAATAAAAACATATCTTAAGAAGATGCGGCCGTGCCATTTTGAGAGAGTTCACTTGATGAACAGACAGTTATTGAAAATTAGGGTTTCTAACAAGTAGAGAATAAAGAGATGAAATGAGTAGTGGGGTATTTAATGAAAATTGAGGTGTTGGTTATTATCATTAATGTATTGAAAATTAATAAAATTCATTGAAACACGACTCCTCGAAAAACAATTTATTCATTGAATCTAATTGGCTTCTTTTACTCATCCTCTCCTTGACTATATATATATATATATATATATATATATATATATATATTCCTGATCTTACCCTGGAGAAATGTCGTCCTTCAAAAACACATAAACCCTAAAATAATCATCAATCTCTTACTCGCTGATCTCAGACTCTTCATCAGATGAAATACCCATTGTGCTTACACCATAAAAGCAAGAAGGATGGGTATTTCATTGATGAAGAGTCAGATCAGCGAGTCTGATCTTAACCTGGAGAAATGTCGTCCTTCAAAAACACATAAACCCTAAAATAATAATCAATATCTTACTCGCTGATCTCAGACTCTTCATCAAGATGAAATACCCATCGTACTTACACCATAAAAGCAAGAAGGATGGGTATTTTACTTGATGAAGAGTCAGATCAGCGAGTCAGATCTTACCCTGGAGAAATGTCGTCCTTCAAAAACACATAAACACGAAAATAATCATCAATTTCTTACTCGCTGATCTCAGACTCTTCATCAGATGAAATACCCATCATACTTACACCATAAAAGCAAGAAGGATGGGTATTTCACTTGATGAAGAGTCAGATCAGCGAGTCAGAGTTTGGTCAGCGAGTTTGGTCAGCGAGTTTGGTCACCTGATGTTGCAAACTGGGAAATACAAGGTTTAGGTGAACGGAAATATGAGACGTCTTTGTTCAGGCAAGATAAACAAGATTACAAGTATAAGGCGTTGATTGGCGTTGATTGCTCATGCTTATACTTGTAATCTTGCTTTTTCTTGCTTGAACAAAATTAGGCTATGGAGGATGCAAAGACGATGTAGGTTTTAGTATTTTGTTTTTCACTTTTTGTTTTCAATTTTTGATTTTAGAATTTTGGATATCTTCATTTGTAATTTTTGGTTTAACCTCAGTTATTTTAGAAAAGTTATTTTTTAAGAATAATTACTTTGAATAAGATAATAAATTCCCATGATTTACGTTTATCCATTATGAATGAAAAACAAGGCGTCTGCTTGATGACGTCTTCCC